GCCTTGCACCGAGGACCTATCCATGTCATCATTTACCCAGAATGCTTTGTGTGGAAATAAAATGTCTCTGTCCGTGTTAAAATATATTTTTAAAAATTTACAAAACTAAACATCCTACAGTATTTTTACAGTCTTTATTTTACAGTTAAAATATATGTTTATTAAATAAAGTCTAATGTTACAACTGATCATAGATCCCTTTAAAGAGGTTTGGTTTTCAGACTGAATTGATCCAGATGAACAGCAGAACCGTACGGATGTTTACCTGAACACGCCCCGACAGCAAGGACCAGCTAAACTTTAGAGTTTAATATTTGAAAACTTTTCAAACAATAAACCAAACCTTTTTTTAACCCCGTCTTTAATAAACCATGAACACAAATCAGTAATATTTTAGAATCAAACGCTTTTCTAAGCAGAATAAAATCATCTAAATGAAAAGAGAGCTGACGAGTAAAACAAGCAAATAAACCACGAGCTTCATAAAAACACTATAATCCATCTGTTGGGAAACAAAAACAAACAAACAAACAATGCATAGCATAAACAGCATTTAAAACTTCAGCTGTACTGCACTTCACACTCTGCCAGGTGAACACAGGTGAGGAGAGTCTTTGTTGTTCCAGGTGGAGCCAGGTGGCTAAAGTCTAAAGCAGTCCTGTTAAAAACCAGGAAGGACGAACAAAGCTGGATCGAATCAAGGAGAAAAGGATATAAAAGGAGAGGAGGGAGAGTTTGGACTCCTTCCATGTAACACTGCTGCTCAGGACCACGCCTCCTCCACTCCGATCAGGAGGAGGTGGAGGAGGAAAGGAGCCACGTCACGCTCGGGTGTCCTCCTCCTCACGGCTGCCCACCACCCTCTTCCTCAGAGCGTCTTCAGGTTCTGGGCGGCCCTCGGGAGATCCTCTCCTCTTTCTCCAGACCTCGTCCTTGTCCCCATCGTGATCCTCCTCTTCATCGTCGTCATCTTCTTCTGCGTCAGCCTCTTGGTCCTCGTCCTGACGCTGGATGAAGCGCGCCTGCTCCAGTGCCTGTTTCTCTGCAGAACAAACACAAACAAGCTTTAAGCTGTATCATTATAAAACTTCTGTAACTGGCCTGCAAATATTCAAAGCATCGTAAAACCAAACAAAACTCCAGATCTGAGACAGTTGATGTGTGACAGTTAAATATCAGTAATAAAGTTCTGTAAATCTCATAAAACGACAACAGCATYGTTCTCACTGAAACTGAAGGTTGAGCCCTGCTCTCAGAAATCGTGTTTCCATCCAGTTGTAGAGTGAATTTTTATCGAACTTTTCAAAATTCGCAAAAAATTAAACAAAAATTCGAATCTAGACTGTTTCCATCTAGTTTCCCTCTCGACTGTTTGATGTGAATAAACAAGGCTACGGAACGCGTGATTACGTCAGAAGAGGCTACGGAACGCGTGATTACGTCAGACGAGGCTAAGCAAAGCGTGATTACGTCAGACGAGGCTACGCAATGTGTGATTACGTCAGACGAGGCTACGCAACGTGTGATTACGTCAGACGAGGCTACACAACGCGTGATTACGTCAGACGAGGCTACGCAACGTGTGATTACGTCAGACGAGGCTACACAACGCATGATTACGTCAGACGAGGCTACGCAACGCGTGATTAACGCTGCTTCAGTTCAGTCTGAAGCTTGAAAACAAGCCTCGCAGCTCCTGGAGTAAAATTTACCCAAAAGACCACCTCTGAATTATCTGGTGGATTAATTATCTTGTGAACATGATGTTCACTTGCTCAAAGTAAATAAAGTACCGCCACTTTCTTTATTTCATCCACCATTAAACAGAGACCGGTGTTAGGTCGAGCC